ACATATATATATTTCTATTATAGACTTTCTTATATATATACATATATAATAAAATTTCAATATTAATTGAATTTAAATTTTTTATATTCTATATTTCTTTATTATATATATATATATCCTTTAATCAGCGAAGGAAATTTTTTACACGCTTTTCACATGCTAGGTGATTAAATCAACCGTCACAGGACTTTTATAGATGCAATACTCGCGTACATTTAAATTGAAACCACAGTGAACATGATACATGACGACGCAGTTAAATTTCAGTTCTCCAAGCAAAGTTAAAGATACATTTTCAATTTCTCTATATTTATAGAAAAAAACAAATTCCAATTTCAAGGCGGAAAAATTCGTTAATGCGATATTTCAATGGCACATTTTATTTCATTCTAAAAAAATAATTAAAAAAATGAAATGGAAAATCATATTTTGGTTATACTGCAGATTGCCTCAGTTGAAAATGTTATTTCAACTGGTGGCGTGCATTCGGTGGTGAATGAAATACTTATGAAGGATCTTCAGAATTTCTTATACAGCAACAACTTGGTTAACGAGTTATTTTATTCCTTTTATACACTTTTCTTATCATATCTAGCTTTATAGTTAAGTAGTTTTTCCGTAATAGCACTTATATTTCACACAGCAATAGTTTCCGTCAGTAGCGTAGTGAGTAGTAAATGTAACAAATACGTCTATAGTACAGAAAGACGTTTTTATGGATTTCTTCTTGTTCCAAGTAAGTTCGTTTTTATTTGGCAAGCAATATAAATAGGAAATTGAACCCGAATGGAAGGTAATGGGGAAGAGAAGATTACATTAGGAAAAGAAAAGCCACTTTCTTTGTAAAATTATTAATACACTGATGCACTGAAGCTGCATTTGTGAAGGAAATATAAAAAAGAGAAGGTAAAGTGCGAAGTAACACATGGTTATTTTGTAGGAGTAATGCCCACTTCGAAGAAATGTTAACTAATGTTAAAGTAAATACGTTAAAAATATAAAAGTACCTGTGCAATAAACTCATTGTGTTATTAAAGGATTTTAAACGAGCAGCTGAAATATCACAAACAAATTATTTGCACTAAAAAACTGTTTAACATCACAATAATGCTCTGTAATTCTTCCTACATTACATGTAATTTCTAATACTTTTAAATTAATTAAAGTGAAAATAACTATTTAGATATTCCCAAACAACATTGTTACGAATTTTGTACATATGTAAATAATTTTAGCGAAATTATATATAAAATTACAGTATCTTTTGTGTAACGTAACATGAACGGCCTCTAAAAACGAAGCGCCGCTGGAAAAACAAGATTACAAGAGCAGGTCCATTTAACATTCAATGTAAATGTCTATCTATGGTTAATATCGACTAATGGCTATCTATGGTTTTGATGACTAATTTTTGTCGCCATATTGACCAGAAATCGGGAAAAATCGCCGCATTTGGCGTTCATCTGGCGACGTTCTGGTTCGGTCCCAGTATAACTGTAACTGGCCGAATGCGCATGTAACTGCAACTGTGTATGCTTTCCTAGCAACTTCGAGAGGTCGAAGGTATCGGAAATTCCTTGGTGGCCGGGGGGAAAAATTATGACCGGAGACAGCACTAGTTAGTTCTCAGTCGTTCAGTTTAGAGCAGCGGTCGCCAACCAGTGAAAACTTTTTGATGATCCGTGAACTTTTTGATGAAAAATTGGGACATTATTTATATTTTTATGAAGATTGACGAGTAACAAAACCTATTATGGAATATGGATTATACATTTTTGTTTCAATTTTAGCTGCTACTTTTAGCGAAATGCCTTCTGAATTTAGAGTTTTTTTAGCTACTTTTTCAGCTGTATCTAGCGACATTTGAAAGTGAGAGTTGGCATCCATGGGTATGCTGCTGTTATCAATAATACCACGAACTGAAATTATCTTTCCTTTTGAATTACAAACATATGCTATTGTGGTCAATAACACAGTTTTTCTCCGTGACAATAGATGGATGATGATGGATTTTTATGAGAACCATCTGCATTGTTGTTTATAATTGCATTACTGGAAGTGTTCGTTTTTATTTTGTCTGACTGTTGATCGATGACGCCATTGCTAAGTAAGCGATGATTATTATGTTCACAATAATTAAAAGTTGGCGGCATAACACTGACAGATTATTAACTTTGCTTTGCATTTGTCGGTTTGTTCTTGCTTTTCGTGAAGTTCCTTTTCAGTGATACGGAAATGTGAAGCTTTTTGTACAAGAAGGTAAGATTTTTGTACTTTTCATGCAGTGAACAAAGTATGTGTAGTTTGCTGATTATTTAAATGTATTTACTTTTAAAATTCATATTAGTGGTCCCCTAAATATAAAATTATATATGTAGTGGTCCGTGAAGTTCTAAGAGTTGACGGCCGCTGGTTTAGAGTATTGAGAGACTTTCGCACGATCTTCACTCTTTAGACGTGTTTTCATTACGCTATATTTAACGTTCTCAGTTTGAATTAGAAACTACTGGTTGCGCTCTGTCATACTGACAAGAACTGTATGAGGACTTTTGTGAAAAGTTCCAGAACTGTAAAGTGGTTTTGGAGAAAAACATTCATCAAGCTATTATAGATTCTTTTGCACTGAATACATTACGAACGCGTATGCAGGAAACAATGTCAGAAATGGGATTGAATACCGGTGACAAAAGCAATAGACAAAAGCAATACCATTTAAATTAATTACTTTCGTAGCATGTGCGACTGCTGTGCCATCAAGTCTTAGAATAGTGTATTCAGATTTTTTTAAATGAAAGTTTTATTATATTACAAAACGATTCAGTAATTAAAGATTTTTGAGAACCATAATCATTAAAGCTCGGTATTCATAAAACTGCCCTCGATTAATTTGTACTCGTATAACAGATGCTGTTTCCAAAATTAAATCAGAATTATTTGTATTGCCTGTAAAGCAAATTAGCTACTCCTAGGTGATGGCCGCTGGTTGACTTCAGCAATGATTTTGGGATGGAGTAGACTATAAATGGCGTTCAGCAGAATTTTTTTTCCGAAAGGTGTAAAGAATTGTGTCATGTGTTTGTTTACATGTTTTACAAAATGCAGTGAATCGGCATGAAGAAACACTATGATTTAGTTTCAGACTGGCAAAGACTACCTTTAGTTTGCTATACCAAAGACATAATATTTTTGACGGACGTGTCCGACGGAGTGTTAATACATGATAAAACATGGCATTTATTCTGAGCGGAAGATTTGGAAAAATATTGTTAAAAAGGCCCAGTTTCGTCCATATAGCAGATATCACACGAGGTATACTTTTCTCTCAGTCAAATTCATGCAACCAGTTGTTGGCTCCTTCTTCATCAACTTTTCCTGCTTTACCACTAATCGCCAATGACAAAACTGAGTGTCATGTCTGGAACCGGCACAGCGAACTTTCGGAAAATCTGAAACTTTGAATGTCTAAATGTTTTGCAGTCGCGTTTGCTTTTGACTGTATAATAGGTCCAATTTAAGGTAAACAGGAAACACGAATATGGCTGAACATTTTCTGGACGTAAAGTTTCGACATGCTTGTATCTAACCTTGCGATGTCGTATAGATTTATTCCTGGAGCTGGAAGCAGAAGCATTAAGAATTTTACCACGATCTTTTAATACTGTGAATAAGGTTATTTTTGGCAATTCCACACTTTCGACAATTGTGCTTTTCTTCAATTCACCACGGGCTACTTTCTCTAGGACTTTTAGCTTTCTTTGCAGATCTTTGCCTGTCTGATATTTTTGACCATAACTCACTGTTTTATTGCTTACAACTTAACATTAGTTGTCGCGTCCTTGAAGCTACCAGAGTGCAATCTACAGGACACGTTCAGAAAATAAAATAAAGTTGAGGTGAGCTTAAAACACATTTGTAACTAAACTACAGTCCAGCAAAGATACATTATTTTATTGTAAATACAATACGTTTAAATTTTTAACTGGAATTTATTTATCTAGTATGCTGTGCTCTACTGCGTTTCAGAAGAAAGAGACAATACTAAACTCATTAATTAAGAATTATTCAAGATTTAACAACAGTCATACCAGTTAACTCTTAAAGAATAAAAAAGAAAATCTGAGCACAGAATTGTAGTTGTTTATTGAAGCTCATTGTTGGCGAAATTGAAGCTCACTGTTGATGCGTGGATCGAGATTATCGAGCAGATGTTCGTGTCGGGCTATAGTTTAGAGAATGAAATGTATTGTATGAGGATTTCTATTAGAAAGGACGTATGTTTTTCCCCAGCTCAGCCCTAGCAGATAAATAACAGAGAAAAAACGTGAAAAACTTTTAAAGTTCGTGCTAAATTGAAAAAAATTAATGACGCAAGGGACTATGAAACAGTTAACCGAAACACGCATTAACTTATAAACCTTTTTATGTGATCATATATATTGCTACTAGTATCGAAATATTAGTCATATTAATCCAGTGTTCATCTTAAGGGTGCTCGTGTTAAAAAGGGGTTACTGTATACATAAAATGACTTCTCCATTTAATTATTCAGAGAGTTATAATTTGAATCAGACTTTCCAAGCCTTTTTTTTTTACAGAAGTTCGCTATATGTGATACAGATATTCTGAAAAGTTAAGTGTAGAATCAGAGTTGTTTTAATTCAATATTTTTATGAAAGAATCACAGAATCATTTATATATTAACGAAAAACTTTCACGCAATGAAATATAATGAGATGATGAAAATATCTAATTATAGGTATTTTCTTGGTTACATTATTCTACTTCTTATTTATCATGAATAACTTCATAACAATATTTTCTGTTCAATATCACACTCTATTTAGATATTATCTATTTTAACTTATTAATATAGTGGCATAAATGTAGAATATTTTAATGAAGCAACAGAAAATTCTGATTTCGTACCCACAAATTCAGCACTACATGAAATTCGTTTATCAGATGTTACGTTAAAGATAAAAGGTAAATTATCTACTTACTGCACAGAGACCAACCAGTAGTAAAGCTGAAGACATTACACACATTCCAGAAAGGCAAAGAGCTGTCAAACCGAAAGCAAAAAGCACTAAAATGAAAATGGAAAAATATCTCAGTTATTTTAATTCATATATATTATCTATAGTGACAAATAATAGAATTCTTAAAATTTATGAACAATATTTAAAATCACAGAAAACTGAACTATTTAATCATGGCATACCATGTTTAAGAAAAATAAATGAAAGGCGTATTTTCTTTCATCAATAAGTTAAGTTTTAACTCTCGATTTTAAGATTTTTCTGAGAGGAAAGACAATAAAAATCATTCTTTTCTTCTTTCAAATTTATTTTAACTACTTCTTCACAATGACATTAAATTTATTTTATCCTGTCATATTAAGTAAAATCTTAACCGCACCGCACCACGAAGCAACGCGCGATAGCTGGCTGGCCTTGGTGTCAGAAATATCGCTAAGGATACCCATAGATTCAGAAGATAAGCATGAAGTTAATGGCTAACAGAATGATGAACATTAGACAAAATTATTGTAACTGGTTCTTAAGTACTTGATATTTTTATTGGTATCTTATAAAAAAGTACTAAAAGGTTACTTCCTATGTGGAAAGATACCTTAGAGAAACACATACCCCAATGAAATGTAAGCTCAAGAGAACTCAATAGTGCTGTAAGAGAATCGACTATTAAAACGACCATAATGTCCCGTTTTAGGACTGTGTGAACCGTGACAGTCAAGTCAATTTCCACCTCCTGGATATCACCAGACATGCCATAGCTGGTCATTGCGGCCACCATATATATAAATATGTAATGATTTTAAAATACGTAGATGCAGGACACTGGAACCTTAACAGCTTTCAATATTGCGTAGAATACTAGTGGGTTGAGGGTGGCAGAGTGAAAAGCATGATGACGCAATTTAGCACAACGTATCTTGAAAAATCACAACCTTTGTTTTTTTTACGTATATCAAATCATTCTTTTTTCATACAAGATGTTTCCTAAATATCCTAATTATATTTGAATACATAAATTGCATTTTGAAATAGAACGTCATCTTAAGTAAGTAACCAGCAGCAGCAGGGTTTAAGAGCGTCTTGCCAGCAGGAGAGCTATGCGGAAAAAGGGAAAGTTATAGTACTTTCAGAGGAAGAAGGTTGGGAGTGAGAAAGTTTCAGTTCAGAGATTTGGTTTAAAATTAGTTTGATTGGCCAAGAGGTATCTGTATTAAAACGTTACGTAAGATAGAAGATTCTGGAACCTGTGAGAAGAGATGAATTTAGAGGCAGGTCACCAAATTTAGAATGTTAATTTTGAGATCGCCAATTATTTTTTTTGAAATAGTTATCACATTTTGTTATAACTTATATATATGTAAGATAAAAATATGTAAATAAAAATTATAATTTAAATTAACCCCTAATTCCCTTTAATTCTCCCTCTCTGTTTTAAAAATCGTAACAACTTCTCGGGATTGCGTCATTTCTAGATCATTCCATTTTGCATGACATGCGCAGCGCCGATGACGTAATAATTGGGAACTGAAACTTTTAACTAAATACCTTTCTTTTCGTGTGCTTCTATATTGGATAACTTCGCACTTTAGCTTCTGCCTGTGCAGTGCTTGTACGCAATTTCGCTGGGCTCGCTTCCTATCGCAATAATATCAAACATGTAAATGTTCTTAAATAGGCGCCACTAGAGTGCCAAGCGAACTGAGGCCACAAATGTCAGATGCAAATAAAAATGCAATTAAAACTGCCTCGACTGCAAGTTTTTAGATATTATGAAGTCAACATATTAGCATACTAGGCAATCAGAATGCTTCCACTTCAATATAGTTCTACGAGTTATCCTATATAGCTATTACGCGTCGACACTGCTCCGTCTTTTCCTTGCTATTATTACATGTATGCATATGTGTGTGCATAAACAACAACTACAGAATAAATAGACCCAACCTAATAAATTATACCTATTAAGCAACTTAGACTGAAAAATGTATTAATTTTACAGTATAAAAAGATTTTATTAGAAGAGGATTATACTACCTTAGAAAGTGAAAAACTATTGAAAAGAAAAATTTTATTTAGCAAATAAATCACGAATGAGAGTCTTTCACCCTTTAAAGTTTTGGAACGTTGAAAAACAACTGACTGAAATGATTGTTAGATAATTCAATTAATTCAAACTTCAAATCCGGCCATACTGTCTCACGATTTACGTTGAAAAGCATGGTGCTGCTTCTGTATGAATGGCATTGAAATCATGAAGTGTAAAAATACTTATGTAGGTCAAGAGATCATTAGAATAAGAAGTAAATGTGAATAATCTGGCGAAGTAATAAAATGTAAATGTAAAATAAAAAGCCAGAGAAGAATCCTTAGGCACTAGAAATTGACTGCAATGCACTGTGTCGTGGAAGGAAAGGCAATGCAAAGACACACAGCAAACCATTCTCACTGGTCTTAAATAACAGGAATGGTATGAGAGCGAGTCCGGACATCCGGGAGGCTTAAAAGGACTATTCGGGTTATCGTCCGGAATCTGCAACTGTACAACGCAGTAACTCTGGCGGCCCAGAAGCGCGCCATCAAGCTAGTACAACGCAGTAACTCTGGCGGCCCAGAAGCGCGCCATCGAGAGCTAAATAGAAACTTTAAACTCTACACGGCCTTACGGGAGTAAGATATAAGACAAATCTCGTACAAAATATATCTCGCATAAGATACAAGAATGCTGTTACAATGATATTGTAAACAATGATAAGGTTGTTACACTGATAACGCTGTTACACTGCTAATGCTGTTACACTGATACTGTACACTGAAACTGGAGAACTTTGAACTGATAGTTAAACATTTTACACTGATAATTTTACACAATATAATAATTTTATACTGATGAGTACACTGTAGCTTTTACATAAGTATTATGCATTAATAATTAAACTTTTATACTGATGTACGCTGATAAGCTTTCTTTAAAAACTGGAAATATACTGATACGATAACGTCTATTTTGTACTGATGCGTACACTATTGCATTTGTATAAACATATTACACTGATATTTTTCACTGTTATTTAAACATTTTATACAGATTTTGCTGTTATACATATATATTCTACGCTATAAACATAATTACCCTAGTCTATTTTTATGTGCACATGGATTAAGACACTGAGGATATACTGATACGGAAATTCTAATTGCACTCTTTCGTATACATAAGCATTTTACTTCTGATTACTACATACGTAAACATTTTACTTCTGATTACTACATACATAAACATTTTACTTCTGATTACTACATACATGAACATTTTACTTCTGATTACTACATACATAAACATTTTACTTCTGATTACTACATACATAAACATTTTACTTCTGATTACTACATACATAAACATTTTACTCCTGATTGCTATATTTTACTACTTTAGTTCTAAAAGTTTACACTGTTATTTAAACAATACACAAAATTTACTCTGTTACGAGCATAGAAACTCTACATTGATATGTATATATGAACAAAAATTACTACCGTGGTAGATTTTATGTGCACCTAGGTTTAAATACTGAGAATATACTGTTACAATAATGTTTGTTTTATACATGTGTACGTTTTTGCGCGTACATAAACATTTTACACTGATTTTACTCTTAATTACAGGCTAGTTCTATAATACAAGGATACATACATACATATATATATGTGTGTGTGTGTGTGTGTGTGGTGCTGAAGTACTGATATTGGACGGCAGATGACGCTGAGTTGCATATCGTGTAATTCGCTCTGATGCTTTCATTTGGCCTCTATATTGACTGAAAGACGATGATGGATTTAAAGACGAATGAAATATGCTACCACAAAAGATATATTATATCTTAGGGAGTATACACTATAAAAAGACTATTGAAGCATTATCTTGTAGTCTTGTGAAACAAAATAAAAGTCAGAGGAAGGGTGTATAAGATCCTTTTATTCGAACACAACTTAACAGCTACCTAACTCGGGTTTACACAAGCCAAGCACTTTTGTCTTAAAAAAGTATATTGTTACGAATTTGGTATTTAAAAAGCTAATGTTAGTTCAATTATAAATTAAATGGTTTTATTTCTCGCGCAGTGCAGCGCGTGACGAATATTAAAAGAAAGCTAAGCTGGAAAATTGAAAGTACAAGAGCGCGTGCATTAAATAAATAAATATCTCTTTTTGATTTCGAGAAAGTACTAGAAAATTCTAGCGCGCGATTTAAAAATCTTATAAAAGGAGGAAAACATGTCAGTTCGTAGTAGTTGCTTAGTTTGTTGTTGTTTAGAAAACTGCTCTTGTTGATTGTAGCGAATTCGCGGATTAGCTTTCTTTAGCTGTTTTGAATTACGTTCTATTGGACATTTGAGTAGTTAAAAGATAACTACTGTGAGATATTGTAATACTGCATGATAATTTGAGAAAATTTAAGCATTTTTGTTGTGATAATAATAAATTTTTGTTCATTTTTCATCGGACTTGTGCATTCATTTCATAACGAACCCGTACGCACGCAATTGAACAATATTGAACAATATTGAACAAATTCAAGATGTGGTAGATTAGCCTAACAGCTCACAGAAAGGCTCTGGTAAGTATAAAACTGGCGAGATAAAGACGAATGGCTAGAAGCACTTAACGCCACTAAATCAAGTCGCTAATAATCATAGCACAACGTGGCCTGACAGAGGAAGACACGATCTAAAACTAACCTCAGTAACTCTTACTTAAATAGCAATTCTTTCTACATTAACCTGAATAAATGTTCGCTATCTCATTTACATTCTGGCAACATTCTGAAAAGCGTGGATGAAAATAGAGTAATATGGAAGGGCTAACTTAAGGTTAATTATGAGTTAAAAATAAATATATAAACCCTACAAACTGAACTGAGTTTATTTTATTTTCAAAATTGCGCATATGTTTATTGTAATTAAACCTGTTATCCGATATAAAGAAACTCTGTAAGATGTTTCTACCGCCCACAAGACAACCATTACATTTTTCTTCAGAAATGGATACAGGC